ATGTTGCCGCCGCCGTTAGCGCCGGGGCTCTATGGGGAGAACATGGCTCCCTTCCCCGAGGAGGTGGACGTCTTCTCGGCTCCGCACTGGCGGATGAAGCAGCTCGTGGGGCTCTACTGCGACAAGGTAGTGGAGGGGGACAGCTTCTGCCCCGCTCCCCTGAGGCGGGAGGGAGGATTTCAGGAGTGCGCAGCTGTCAGCGCCTCGCCGCCCCGGCCCCGGCGGCAACTTCTCACCACTGCTGTGGGGCTGCGGGTGAGGGCCCGGGGGGGGCCCGTAGTGCTGAGAGGGGAGGCAGGCGGCGAGGCCTCTTGATTTTTGTTAATTAACCGGTTCTGTGCATAGTGCTCGCTGATAGTCTGCTAGCGGCTGTGTTTGTGTTTTTATGCACAGCGTTTAATTGGCGGGTCGCTTAAAAATACCCTAAGTAGGTTTTTTTATTTTAAATATGTATAATTTTACTCGTGGACAAAAGTAATTTTAATTCTTGCACCAGGGTAGTTAATAATCAAGGCTGATGTGTCACCTGAAAGGCAAACTTTGCTGCAGCAGCCCTGAGTGTGACGGAAGGGTTTCAGGCAAATACTTCAAAGGCAGCACTCGTACTGAAAGAAGTAGTGCCTCCCATCTCTGGGTATAAATGGCTGTTTGGAGAACCAGACTGGCTCAAAGACATTTAAAAGGAGGGTGCAGTTACATGAGAGACAGTATAATATCTTACTACTGCCAGCACGATGGGGGAGTTCTAACTTCCTTCGCCTGCTTTCCACATGCCACCTTGTACTTCTCTGGGGCTCACCAGCTCCCTTCGTGTGAGCCTGTTCAGTTTGCTAATTGGGTAAGGAAATGTGAGTTGTTTTTTGCTAGGTTAGCTAAGTGAGCAGGGGGTCTGAGGGGAGGAGAAGGTCAGACCTTCCGTAATTTCACTTTGCCTTTTATCTGTGAGTGTGTTTGCAGTTAACTTTAATCTGTGATAGCATGAAAACTTGTGGTATCTCCACAAAGTGGATTTTACACGAAGGGAAGCAAACACCTGGGACTCTTCTCCCCCATGGCCCCCAGTAGCAATGTTAGCGTATTGACAGGTTTTATTTGAACCTTCAGATACTGTAGTCATTTGGGTTTCGTTCCTAGAGTGGCATTTCTGTCACTTCTATTGAGCCTTCCACGAAATTTTGACCAAATTTACCATGACGATAAAAGTAAAACTGCTTTTGCAGGAATGGTTGGTTTTCCCAAATACTGGCAAATTTGATCAAAACTACCCAGTTTGCAATAAACATAATTTCTTATTTTCTAAAAATTTTTATGCAGGATGCTTGCATCCTTTAACCCTGTTCCAGAACTTGGAGACTGTGCCTGGCCTATGACATTTGTATTAGAGTAATGCTAGCTTTGCATCAGAGAAACCTCTGAACTGTGTTTGACTTTCCTTCTTGTGTGATTGAGATGCTTTAATTAGATAAGACTGTAGTTCTGCTTACATGGCAATTATAATTTGTAAAGCCACGCTCTTTATAAATTTAGTTAGTCCTTAAGGGGTCTTTAATTTTGTGAATTACATATTACCTGCTGTTCCTCACGTTCCCTGTACACTGTAGTGTAGTTGCTGTCTGTTAGTGGCTGAATTTAGTAAATTCCAGCAAATGTTAGTGAGGGTGAAATGGGAGCATCTGTGATTTGCTTTTCAGGGGAACAACCGTAATGTTACTGATCGGTAAAGTGTGTAGGTACTTAATCCTTTAGGATGCAGAGCCGCAGTTTATTTGCGACCTGATGTGAGACAGAACAGTGAAGCAGACATTTAAGAAGTTTGATGCATTAAGAAAGTTCTGTTTTTTAATCTGCTGCTAGCAGAGATCGCACTATATATTTGCTCCATTCTTAAGTGGCATTTTTACCTGCTTTTTACGCAGTGCTCTGGCCTTGGATAATAAGAGTAGCTAA